GGACCAGGGAGGATGATTCAACCACTCAACCACTAGATGTCACTGAAAACAACTAATCCTACACACTGCCTTTCAAAACCTGAGTTTTCTCTTGCATCAAGAGGGTCTTTCCATACATGAGGGCCTACTTTTTTACTTTTTTCATAATATGCTGAATTTAAAAGAAGAAGCACATCATATTTTCATATTTTAATGTGCCAGCTGACAGAATGAACAAAATATTTCACAGAAACAAATATTGTTCATGAAAGTGCAGCTATCAGCTGTGAGAACTGACATGTTCAGGACCACCGGTCGATCAATACATTTGATGATTAGAGGAGTAATTTTCAGCAAGACCACTCAAGATGAGGTGGTCTTAATAAAATAAGATCTAATGAGAAGCCAACGTCAAACATTTTCTATCCTAAATATTTGTGGATAGCATCTTTTTATTGATATCAATGTAGATGACCCTGTTTTATTTCAGGAAAAACAAGATGATGTAACACTGTCATGTGTGTTAACTGTGTGTGTTTGTGTGTGTTTGTGTGATCTGTACCTTATCCTGTCTGTCCAGCGCACATCCTTCTTGGATCAGAGCGTTGATGATGTTATTATGTCCCACCACAGCAGCTCGGTGCAACGCTGTCTGTCCCCCCTGATAAAACACACAAACACAGCAACAACTTCAAAATAAAATAACCAGTCCACTCAATCACTTAGATCTTAAATAAAAACTATTTCAGACACACTCTTTTAAATAAAAAATATACAGACTGTTGGACGTTGGTGGGTAGACATACAGCAGGGGTTTAGTCCTCCAGACAAATAACCTATTTCCAGAATTCTGTAAGGTCCTGACTTATTGATTCAAATGTTTTATTAAGAATTTACAGCAGACAAAATATTGTTACTAAGTTTTATTAAAATTAAAACTGGACTGGACTGCTCTACTTCAAATGACTGCAAAGGTAGTTTTTCTTAAAATAAAAATAAAATGGAAAAGAAACTAGTCTAACTATATAACTCTATAAACAAGTTAGATGTTTCATAACTTCATCCACTTCAGAGAATTAAAAAACATAAACGAGGGACATAAGGATGGGTCTGGATGAGACCAGGTTCACCCACTCTTACCCAGGSCCTGCCCAGGTCTGCCACCTTCTCTTTTGTTTTATTCATTTAAAATAATAAAGAAAGAAGGAGCATGAATTTATATTAAATAACATTGTTAAATAATTTTAATACAATTTTTAAACTTTATATTGTGTAAATTGTTTGTATAAAAAGTATTCTCCACCTTGGATGCTTTACACTTTTGTTTTTAGAAGTCCACCGTGGTAACTACCATGTGATGCACCGATATAAAGGTTTCCGATGATATCAGATATTATAATTGCCGTTTTGGCCGGTAAACGATATTTACCGACATTACACAAACATCCAAATTATTTATGTACATACAGTATACGCACAAACACATTTGCGTCTCTTTTCAATACCGTAAAAACGACCAGACCGCTGACATGGCCCCCTACTTGAGCAAGGGATTCTGATGTTATCAGTCCATGAAATGGACGTTATTAGGCGTTATCAGTCCCATACAATGGCTTCAGAAGGTCCCTGCTGTGCCTTCTAGCCTTCAGACTGTGGCGACAGTGCCCCCTAGTGGGTTAATATATCAATGATAAAGAATGTGTAAATAACCAAAACATATTTTAATAAATTTTTTGTACTGTTCGTGTCAGTCTTGAACACTTGTCTACCACTCTCTGGGCCGACGTTCTACCCATTGCCCTATTGGAAGGCCATGATATAAAACTGTTGGAGGGCAGTGTCTTTAGTGCTAACCATGTCCTTTTCTCTAAAGTTAGCCTTAGTGGCTTTATGCCTCATAATAACCAGATTTTTTATGCCTCATATTAACCAGATAGTGGCTTTATGCCTCATATTAACCAGATAGTAGTTTTATTGCCTCATATTAACCAGATAGTGGCTTTATGCCTCATAATAACCAGATAGTGGCTTTATGCCTCATAATAACCAGCTGACAATCGGAAGCCATTCTATGGGATGGGGAACCTGCTAACCAGCACAGCCTGGACATCCTGAAGCCATTCTAGGGGACTGATAACGCCTAATAACGTCCATTTCATGGATGATAACATCCGAAGCGGGTGCCTTGAGTTATTCCTGGCTGTGCAGCATCATTATCGTTGTTGCTCAACCAACCATTTCCCCCCCCAAAACAGAAGAGCAGGAGCAGTCTGGGACCTATGGACCCAGGAAATCTGAGCCAGCTGGTCGTCCAGCAGCGAGTCAACCTCACTGGGTTGGCTGCTGCCATCAGTTTACACCACTCTGGGAAGAAGGAATGAAATGAGGAGAGTGGACGTGACCATGGTTATCAGTATTCCACCAAACACTGATGAGCCTGAAAAGCTGCTTAATGAGTGAAGACAGAGTCTCTGAAGATGACAATGCTTCTTGATTTGTGTTGACTTTTTAAAAAAGTGTCTGTATGTCTATTGCCTTTTTACTACACATCGCTTATAGTTCACCTTTAGATAAAAACAATAGCTCTATTGTGCTAAAAATGACCTTTAAAACAAATAATTTTATTTTACACATAAATAAAAAGTGCCCAAAAAAACTAATTTTCAACACTCAAATCACTTGTTGGAATGGATTAAATCTGTCATTATGAGTTTTATTAATTGTATAATGACATTAAATAGTACTCTCCCATAAGTACTTGTACTTGGTGTGGTATCAGTACTTTGATTGATATTTTTATGCTAATTGTTTTAAATAACTAACACTGATCCATGTTCCAGCAGGAAAGTGCTGCTAAACTGCCTCCGTAGGCAGTGGTGRGCAGCGCTAATCCAAAAATTAGCTCCACAATTCCTAAAGCGCTTATGAAAATAATTGGGTCCGCGACTTCAAAAACGCTTATATCATAGAAAATTTAGCAGAAATTAATTTTAAAGCACAAGTTCAATTTGAAACTTACTAGCTGACAATTCATGTAGAATACACACAACACTGCCAACTAGCGGTGTATGAATCCTTTTACAGCTTAATCCTACAACCGCTGATTGCTGGGGATGTGATTTCCTGAAACAGAMCTTTAGCTCCTGGTGTAAAAATTAAAACGTTGTTGAGGATTGCTAGTTCGGCTGATTCTTTGTCTTTTTCTTTTGTTTGTTGTAGATTTTTCATTAAAGAAGCATCCATAAAGTAATTTTAAAACTGTTTATTGGAAAACTGAAGCGATGCATTCTGGGTACATGACGGACTGACGGGAAACRAAAGCACGGGGAACAGGAAACTAGTATCTTCCCTTCAAAATAAGAGCTTGGATTTTAAAGTTTTTCATGTTTCCATTGGGTTTTAAAGTTTCCCAGTTCACCTGAAACTCAGACTGAAGAAGTCTCTTGGAGGAGAGACGAAACGTTTCACTAAAGAACTCATCCAGAGAACCTACTTATTTTTTCTTTTTGATTTTTTCTACCTGGATTAGGACGTTTTCCATGTAGTTGCTCCAGTTGACCACTAGATGTCAGTCTT